AAGAAATTTTATGGGTTTTGCCTATAAAAACTAACTTCCCCAAAAAAGAGTAACTCTTCCCTGCCTCACTTGAGATGGCTTGAGATGAGTTCCCTGTCATGATTTGTAACAGATAAACCTTGCTTTTGCATTCATTCTGGTATGCTCGTCCTTGGTGGTCTCTCTGGGGGTTACGATCTGGGCACAACATCTACCAATGGAAATTTGAAGAAGACAGTAGTTGTTCAGTTCCTTTGACTGGATGTCTCAGCTCCTCTTCAGTATACAACAAAATTACCAAAACTTATGTTCTAATGCTAGTAAAGGAGTGAACTTGGTAGCCAGAGCTAGGGCAAGCAGGCAAAGACAGAGGGCTTCCTTCTTCAATATCCTTTATATATGTCAGCTGCTGCCAAAAGGTGTGACCCAGATTAAAGGTGGAACTTGTTTGTTTGATGGGTTTTTTGGTGTTTTTGAGGCACGGTTTATCTGTGTAGCCCAGGAACTCATTCAGTAGACCAGGTTGACCTCAAACTCAGAAAATCCAACTACCTCTGTCCCCTCAGTACTGTGGCTAACGGTGTGCACTGCCACCAAGGAGCTAAACGAGGATCTTATCACCTTATATGATGCAGATCAGTCTTTAATTTCAAAATCTTTAAGAAAAATTCTTCACAGATATACCCAAGTCTTTGGGTTTTAGTTAGTTCTAGAGGTGGTCAGTTTGACTACCAAGAATAGCCATCACAACAGCAAAGACAGAAAAAAATTAGAAAGATTTCTTATGTGAAGGAGGCAAATAGAGCATGGGAGTTATTTTCAAAACAATGCTTTTCCTAAACAAAGGAAGGATGCAGATTTTACTTAGGGAATCTTGACATGTTCTCATAGAGTTCTGCATATTCCTAAGCATGCTCAGTCAACAAATCCAATTCTGAGTATGATCACAATGTAAAAGCAGAGACATTTAGGGACATTCTTCTCTCAAAGTCATGTAAGAACATACATAAATTATGAGAATGATGGAAAGAAATGCCTCTGGCAAGTTCATCTTGTCCCACAAGGTCTTAGCTGAAAGTCAAGCAAATGACGCTGTGAAGGTAGACTGCTCTGGAGCCCATGGTGCCTGGCACTCTTGATGTTGGACCTAAAAGATAACTGTACCAATGCCACAGTTCTCACAGATACAAAAGACAGAGAACACAAATAGAGAAAACATCCAGGAAAGTTCACCTAACAGCACAGTATACTCTGCTTTTACATGAACGGTCATGATGAGCGCTATTAACCTCAGAACAAAACAGCTTTTGCCTCTGAGCAGGCTGGCTCAGGAGAAGGCCACAGCTGCTTCCATGCAAGACCAGAAGGAGTTCATTTTAACTAGCCCTGGCTGCTGTCTGTCTCAGGCCTGTGACATCACTGTAGAGAATTCTTTCTTTCCTTTTTTTTTTTTTTGTTTTTTTGTTTTTTTTGAGTCAGGGTTTCCCTGTGTAACAGCCCTGCCTGTCCTGGAACTCACTCTGTAGACCAGGCTGGCCTCAAACTCACAGAGATCCGCCTGCCTCTGCCTCCCGAGTGCTGGGATTAAAGGCATGTGCCACCACTGCTTGGCCCATTCTTCCCTTTTTCCAACTTAAAAAAAAAGTTATTTATATGGTGTTTTGACTGCATGTGTCTGTACACAGTACCTACAGAGGTCAGAAGAAGGCAGGAGATGCCTGGGACTGGAGTTACAGCAAATGGTTAGCTACCGTGTGGCTTCTGGGAATGGAACCTGGGTCCTCTGTAACAATATCCAGTGCTCTCAATTGCTGGGCCATCTATCTAGCCCCTGTTTTTTATTTAAAATTTATTTCATTAAATGGTTCATTAAAAGATATTACATCGGCTTGATCTATTTGGGAGGCATCCAGGCAGTGGGACTGGGTCCTGTGCTCAGTGCATGAGCTGGCTGTCTGAAACCTGGGGCTTATGCAGGGAGGATGCTTGGCTCAGTCTAGGAGGAGGGGACTGGACCTGCCTGGACTGA